CGCAGATTGGGATGTGCGGCAGATCAACATAACACTCCTCTATAAATATGCAGGGAAGATGCATTACACTCTAAGAGCAAAAAAAAAAAAAAAGAAGGGAAGAAGACACACAGAAAGACGTTATTGAGATGGCAATGCATAGATCAAAATAAGCTAAGCTACCCTAAGCAACTGCAACGAGATTGAGAAGCAATTGACCATGCATTCAAGAGAGATGTTCTTTTTTTCCTTAAACTAACATGTCTACAGAAGATATAATGCAGGAAGAAGAATTTTTCCCCAAAACAAAAGAGTAAGCAAATGGATTCACGAATTTACAAGATAAAGCAGCAGATCAAGGGACTGACCTCAACGATGTTCCCCACAAGGTAGGGCAGCTGCTTGTTGAGTTTAATCTTCTCCTGATTCTCCTTGATTTTCTCCTTGAAGGACTCCAGTTCGAGATTCGCCCTCTGCAACTCATCCTGCAGTCGGACGCCAACAGATTTCGAGATCAGCAGGATCAATTACAACCACCGTGAAGATCGAACGGAAAATCAAGGAAACCCTAGTTTTCGGGGGTTAGGGTTTGAGACCTTGAGGATGCGGATCTCGTTGTCGAGCAGGCGAGAGGCCCTGATGACGTCGTCGGTGGTCATGGAGGATAGCTGGTCGTCCTCGAAGTTGGGATCCTCCGCCATCGCCGTCGCAGCCGCCATGGATCGTTGAAGCAAAAGACCGGAAGAGCGAGCGAAGCCCTCGTCCGACCCTCCCCTTGTAGGTTTGGCACCAAGGAAGCAAGCAAGCCGGCGTTTAACTTTTTGGTCTGTATATAGAGTCTGGGGAACCGGTTCATTTGATCTGGGCTTCCGGCCCATTTATTGGGCGAGTTAGACCGGCCCAATTAGTGGTCTTCTGTGAATGGACCGGAGCTTCTAATCCGTCAAAAATATATCTTTTTTAAATTTCACATAATGGTTTATTATAATTGCAATTGAAATATTAAGCTAATATAACAAATAATTAAAGGATAATTATGGTTGAACAATTTAATCCATTCTATTTCAACACATATTATACTTTTAGATTCTTTTTATTTTCTATGTAACTAAATAAAAAACTTATAACAAGACCTTTGATTTGTGAAAGTTATAAGTGATTATACACTATCAATAAATAAAATTTGTATTAATTAAATTAGTTGATAGATTTCAAACTCACAATCTCAATTAACAAATAAGATATATATATATATATATATATATATATATATATATATACATTTATATATATTGTTGGTATGAAAATATTGAAATAGATGTGCGGAGGTAACGAAAAATATAAAAAAACTATTTTTATTCTTTTAGCTTTGCATATCTCCATACCATCAAAAAGCTCATATAGTCAATCATAAATAATTGAAACTTTATAATTTCATTATTATTGTTGTTATTAATATAGTATTTTTAAATTTCTAACCTAAAATAAATGAATCAAATATACTATCACCAAAATATTTATTAGGTATAAAAAACTTTGTAAGATGAGATCTCAAACTTTCAATATAAGAAAAGTGAATAAGATTTATCACTAGTAGATTAATAAAAATTGATATGATAATGTTTGAACTCACAATCTATATTAAATGACTTACATGCATTAGCATCAAACTCAAATATATTTCAGGTGAAGTTCCAATGTCTTTCTCTTCTTTCTTCAATTTGTGCCCTAGAAACTTACACCTGAGCCATGGGAGTTGCCATGAAACAACTCATCTTTGCTCTCTTTCATTCAAGCATCAGTAGCATGCATCTGAGTCACACCCTGCATCACATGCCCCAGTCACTGAGCTTTGAGAAAGCTGGAACAAGATGTGACATGGAAACAAGGAAACCTTGCTAAAGCAACAAAGTCTATCTCAAGCCAACCAGTTGCACACAATCTGAAGCTAGAGGCAGTGCCTGACTCATCTGTGCTGGCTGAGAAGCCAACAAAGGAGAAGACCACATTGCATGCTGGCCTTGTGCTCTCATCTTTTTCTTTCTCCATGGCACAAACTTCCACAAGCATAGCTCCTCACCATGTTGACCCCATCTCTGTCTCCTTTGACCACATTCCAATGCCATCCCCAAAGGGAAAGGTGAGAAAAAGGGGCATGGCTGCTGTGTGAGAGAGAGAGAGAGAGAGAGGAAAGCTGGGTCACAGGAACAGCTGCAGCTTTTCTAAAGCTTCTTCCAAACATTATCTTTGAAGGGCACAGACTTCTAATATGAGCAGCATCCACAGGGTTGGTTCTCATCATCAGTAAGAATGTTCAGTTGAAGCCATCGAGTTCCTCCATGCCAAGGGTTGGAGGGGTCATGTGATGCAAGTGATGTGAAGATGGCTTGGGGAGTGAAGAGAGGTGAAGGCCATGAATGTGTTCTGTCTTCTACCTCCAGATAACCAGAAAGGTAGCTCCTTACTTTCATTATTGTTGGGAAAAGATAAGGATATCAAATCAATAAGATCATATAAATATTTTTCACTAATCAAATCAATAACATTATAAATATTCTTCTTTAGGTCAACTACATGATATCAAATATCATCAAAACTAACTCATGGCCCAGAAAATAATCACTTAAATCAACCATCAAAACATGTAAGATTTCTTCTCCTAATATAGCCTCTTGGAGCCTATGACATCTTCTTTTTTCTCCCTTATTTTTCTATTTATATCAAACTCCATTGGTTACATCACTTGCCAAACGATAACAATTATTAGAATCAAAGAAAGATGATGATTGATTCCTTTTTTCCCAGCAGATGAAATATCTTCATCTGAATATTAATATGTGAATGGATATTATTCATTCAGCTTATCACTCTGAAGTTTATCTTAGGTGCAATGAGGCCGCAACTCCACACATTTTTGCCCAGAAAACACAACATAAAGGTGGCAACTAAATCATCAAATCTGGAAGCTGTGACACAGCAGTGGAAACATGAACACAAGCAGCACTGTCTTGTCTCCCTTTTCCTTTGGCCCTTCCTTTTGTACTTGGACGCAGGTAAAACCTGTTGCAAAGGCTTACATCGACTGCAAAGAAGACCGAGGAAGAGCATGTCTTTTACCATGCAACGCAGCTGAAAGCTCGCAGGTTTGGCTCTTTCAGCTATGCGTTGGAATGCATGCTGCTGCTTTAGACTGTACCAAATGGCACCCATGGATGGTGGTGATGATGATGATGATGATGATGACATGGGGCTTTCGGAAAATGTTATGCTTTTGAGAAAAAAACACCATCAATTATTCACTGCAATGGAAAAGGAATCACTTAGCTACTACAGGTTTGACTGCTTTCTTGCCAAAGACTTTGCAGCAACATATTCTTAATTACTTGTTCTTATCATAAATTATGTCTCACAAAGGTTTTCAAAACTACATATTAATTTTGTCGCTTAATTAATTATGTGACAAAGATATGTTAAATTTGTGAGTAGCAGTTTGTCCTAATTCTGTAGCTGATTTAGCATTTTAGTAGCTGTTTTCGGTGTTATTTGATACAAGAAAAAGCTAATAATGTTTAATTCCGATGAGATTATATCGAATGTCAATAAGATAAAGAGGAGTCTTATGATAAAAAAAAATTCATATAAAATAGAGAACCATTCAAGAATATGATCGACTATATTATCCTTTTAAGAGTATGCTCGATAAGTTTCTTTTCGATGCTCAAACAATATTGAAAAAAATATATATTTGATTAAAAAAACATGTTGATGCTTAAAAAGTATGTAAATCTTTTATTTTTCATAAGTAATTTTTTTATAATATCAAAAGTGTTAAGTTAGCAGTAAAAATTCTCTAAATTTAAACGATTATAAGATATATATATATATATATATATATATATATATAGAGAGAGAGAGAGAGAGAGAGAGAGAGAGGATCTAAGAAAAAGTAATGGCGATGGGATCTAAGGAGATGACGACCACCAAAAAGGGGATCAGCTTATGTGGAATGTCCGACCACAATTCCCTGCAAAGATCCGACACATTTTTGTACCTATCTTTGACCAAATCCTCGCCCTTCAAATTTCCTCTTTAATTAATTACCTTTCTCATATTCCTAATTCAAATTTTATATATGAAATTATTATTATTATTATTTATTCTTGAATTTATATGCCCCAAATCCTCACTCAAATGCGTATATATATATTTACTGCGTTTCAAATGTCTTTGCAATTTGTAGTCACAACTATGGAATATATGCATAATAATTAGGTGCTAAGAGAGTAAAGAGGATATGAGTACACGTGGAATATAGTAGAAGCTGCATATTTAAATTTTATTTCCACTGGTAATCCAATATATATATATATATATATATATATATATATATTATTAACTTAACCAAATGCCACCTAATAAATATCATTTTTTGTTTAATACAATTTCTATAAAATTTTGAAAATTAATTTAAATTGATTAGAATAATATGAAGTATTAATATATATATATATATATTTGTAATTGATAAATGTAAAGAAAAAATAAAATATTTTAATAAAACATAGATTAATTAATCATAGTAAGGAAGAAAATTTTATTAAGCAAAAATTAGATAATTCTGTATGAGAGAGAGAGGGAGAGAGAGAGAGAGAGAGAGAGAGATCTTTCTACCTGTTTAGGTTGTCAGTTGGTCCAACTCATTATCATCCCTTATCCCATCAAATCCAATTCCTTCTTCTATTAATGACTCTCTGTTTCAACACACACACACACACACACTCTGTCTCTCTCTCTCTCTCTCTCTCTCTCTCTATGACTACATTTCTTCCCTTCACTCTCATTAATCATGTAATTTGTATAAATATACAATTAATTAACTAACCTTTCTCTCTCATCCTCTGTTTCTATCTCTTTATCTGAAAAATTATCATACAAAACAGCAGCATCAAAAGAAGAATAAAAGAAAAAGAACAGAAAAAGAGCGTGAGAGAGAGAGAGAGGGAGTGGGAGAGGAGGAGGTCGGAGAAAGAAATGAAGAGAAGAGGAGTAGGGAGGTGAGGAAGAGAGGATATAGTGGTGGCCTATTGGGACACCATCAATTGGGTGAAAGGTGGGATCTTTGGGGGGGTTGGAAGGGAAGAAGGGGAGATGGGGAACGTGACATCGTTGGTGGCGGCACGGTTCGCGTTCTTCCCGCCGGAGCCGGCGACGTACGAGGTGTTCCGGGAGAGGGGAGGGGATGGGAGGCTCTGCCTGACGGGGCTGTCGCCGGAGAAGAACGTGGAGGTGCACCTGGTGGAGACCCGCGCCGGGAACCGAGTGGTGGCCACGTTCTGGCGCCACCCCCGCGCCCGCTTCACCGTCCTCTACTCCCACGGCAATGCCGCTGACCTCGGTCAGATGCTCGACCTCTTCCTTGAGCTCCGCGCTCACCTCCGCGTGAATATCATGAGGTTTTTCGATTCCCTTGCCCTGTTCTCTCCGTCTCCTTTTTTCTCCCCTTCTATTAGATTGGCAAGGTTGGATCTTTATTGTAAAAGGGGAGTTCTTTTGGATGTGCTTGGTGTTTGGATTTAGTTCTTGTAGGTGAATGATGTCGATATGGTGAAATCTTGGGCGTTCTGATTACTGCTTAGGAACTTTGATGTTCTGAGAGTGGGGACAAGTATGTTTCACAAAGGAATTCCAAGCTTGTTTTTTGCTCAATATTTGTTATGGGTGCCTCATTTGATCATCTCTTGCATCCATGGTTGTCAGGAGTGTTGGAAAATCGATCAACTCGTAGATGCAGGTTACTGATATATTTTGTTTTTTTGTCTGTTTTCATGTAGCTTCCTCAAATGTTTTATCAAGGTTTATATAACACACAAGGCTGATGAAATGTGGAGCATGTGGAGGATCTATACATCCAGCCTCTAAATTTCTCAAGTTTCAAGCTCAAATTGGATAATAATAATACTATAAAATGAAACTGGAAATTGTTTTTGATGAAAACTGCAATTAAAACTGATTGATGATCTTCTCCTTTGCAGTTACGATTTCTCAGGCTATGGAGCATCGACGGGGAAGGTAAACAATTGTCAAAAAAACATGTAATGGAATTTTCTTCTTCCTGCTTTCTTTTGGGATCTTGTAAGCTTAGTAGTTTTGTAACATTATGACAAAGGAATTATGTATTTTGGATCAAATTCGCCAAATCAATTGAAGTGAACTAAGAATAGGTAGAGACTACGGTGACATTTGCCACAGTCGATGATTTTAAATGGATGGTTTCCCCTCGAGGAAGTACCCACTTGGCATGGATGAATCTAAAGAGCCTCCAGTCATATAGTAAATTAAGTAGCTAGTTCTATTTTGACAGGTGAAACCGGTGGTTCATTCTCTCACAAACCTGATGCTGGCCCATTAATCTTAGGGGTGAATCGCCCCTGCTAAATAGCATTGTCACTTAACAAAATTTATCCATTCTATATGATACTTAGAAGTAACTGTTGGAATGAGCGACTCTGTGACAATGGATTGTCAGTGAATCTAGAATTCATAGCTAAACATCATCAGTTCTGTTCATTTTACAAAGCCGAAATAGTTAACCAGGGTTTCTGGTCTTCTAGCAATTCACATGGATGTGTGTTGTTGGCAAAAGGAACCCTAAATGCTATGATAGTTTTTCTATAGTCAATCTTAGTGAAGGTGATATGCTGATTTTTTTTTTTTCTTTCATATGAACTGTTGTAATCACAATCTAAGTCTTTTACATGCTTCTCAAGAACTTCATGATAGAGATGTTAAGGCAACAGCTGTAAATACTTTTATGGGACATTAGATATATTTCCAATGAAGAATGATTTATTATCAGAATCACTCATTCTATTCTAATTTTCATGTCTGATGGTATCTCGTTTTCCTTGTTTCTTTCGTTTATTCGCAAAAGCCATCTGAATTCAACACATACTATGACATAGAAGCAGTATATGATTGTCTGAAGAAAGAGTATGGAATAAGACAGGAGGATCTCATTTTGTATGGCCAGTCTGTTGGTAGCGGACCAACATTGCACCTCGCTGCACGATTACAGAAACTGAGAGGCGTCGTTCTCCATAGTGCAATTCTCTCGGGCATACGTGTCTTGTATCCTGTGAAAGTGACATTCTGCTTTGATATCTTTAAAGTAAGTTCAGATTTTTCTTTATTCTATTGGATCATATTCATTTTCTTGCTAGTACTTTACCTGCATTCTTTGACATTTTCTTTTACTATTACTGTGAAAGTTGGGATTTTTGTTTGCAGAACATTGACAAGATACGACAAGTCAACTGCCCAGTCTTTGTTATACATGTAAGCCTTTTCCCTCAGCCAATTCAATATACTAATTTCTTGTATCATATGAGCAATCATGTCTTGAAATATTATGTTACATGTTGGATGATCTTGCCATAAACTCATCGGACTTGCAAGTTAGTGAACATAAAACTTGTCTTACTGTGAGATTACAAATTATGAAAACACTTAAGAATGTCTCAAGTGCTTTGTCATTTTGCTCCCATTTGTGCCTTTATATCCTTGTCATCCATCATCCAAGCCTTTTTGCCATCCAAATGAGGTAATAAGCTGCACACAACAGAAAAAAATAGAGAAGATTTGACAACATTTTTAATGTTCAACCTTTCAGCATGATTTCCATGAATAGCGTTCCAAAATCAGGGAGAGCGACACCTGCCCTGAAACCAAAATACTACGTAGCGTGCTGCTTGATTCCTTCTCTATTAAGACCTGGTGTGTTGCTCAAGTTCGTGCAGGGATTTGAAACTTTTTGTGCCGACAATTAGTTGAAAGTATTCCTTAACTAAAATAAGTAGCACAGTTGTCGGCTAAAGAGAGAATATTTGTATTGTTTGATTCAAACACACTCGATACTTTCTCTGGGAGTATTCAGGTTTCTCACCTTCACATTCTTTGATGTTATCTCTGAAACTGTCGGGGATATCTCTTAAGTACATGTTCACTGATTTCAATTCACTCATTTCGCTGATGCTCTTGATCTGTCAAATTTGTTATCAGATAAAGAATTCTCTTCATCAGACACCTTAATCAGGTTTAATTTGTTTGTAGGGAACGGCTGATGACATCGTCGACTGGACTCATGGGAAACGTTTGTGGGAACTATCCAAAATAAAATATGATCCCTTGTGGATCAAGGGTGGTGGTCACTGCAACTTAGAGACATATCCTGAATATATCAAGCATTTGCGAAAATTTATTAATGCCATGGAGAAACTTCCACTTGTGAAACAGAACAACCAAAGCAGGCTTCCGACATCAACCATCACAGAATCAAAACATAACAAGTGTTTGAGATTTGGCAAGAGATAGCTGTTCAAACGACGCCCTGTAGGTTCATCTGCATCTATGCCTCAATCCTTTGCACGAGTCTGTCTGTCTTCAACGGGCACTGCATGAGCTATGATCAATCGAAGACAAAGACCACAGAGAGTAGGTACATTATTGACTCAGAAAGCTGTAACTTCCGTGTCTAAAAATGATCCTAAAGAATACTAATCCGAGGAGATCCTGTAGCAATCCATGTCTCTGGAATCGACAAGTATGCTTCATCGATCCAATTATTTGTCTGATTTGCCAGATTGATGGCTTGTGTTAACACTTCCACTTCAAAAGCAAATACATGGTTTGTTTCTTGAATCTTGCACTCCATGTTCTCCTTCTTGAAAGAACACTTCTTCATGTAAGTTGGTAGATTTTGTTTTGCTTGACATTAACTCCTCTGGACAACATTGAAAAGTGAAGCTAAATGATGAAAGATGGGAATCAAGTTTCTGATAGATTGTTGATGAGTGAAAATTGCTCCATTATGTAGAGCTAAGTGGAAGTATGTTTCTAGAAATGCTTGTTGTGTATACTAGTATGCATCTTAAAATGACCAACAGCAATATGTAGGTATGCTACCCAATGAGTTTGCATATATCCAGCACTCTAATGCTTTTCATTTTATCGGTTGATGATTCGCGCTTACTAGGAATTATATTTTTCATTTATCTTGTTGGTTGCCTCTCTTACCCATACTTGAATCTCAAACACCATCATGCATCAAACTTGAATGCTTAATTAGCAAACTGTTTCTACTGATGAGGGTGAATGAAATCATGAATTAGGAGACTCTGTTCATCCACAATTTGCAGAAGAACCACTGCCAGCACCCAAGCTGGATTCACCTTTTCTTTAGAGGACACTTGACCATGCTTCCATTGCTTTTCTTGGATCACTCATCAACCCTAAGCCTAAAACGACCTCCATCTTATTCCTGCCTAGCTAGAAATGAGGCAGAGAGGATCCAAGTAGCTTTACTGCCATTCAAAATGGAGACAACACTCATCATTCCTCTCGACACTTTGCTCAGGACTTCCATGAACAAAGCAGCACCAAGGAACCAGTTGTCCTCCCACCTGGTTGGCTGTCGACTCTTATCCCCCACCAAGACACGGCCCTCTGAAACCACCATGGGAACTCATCCTGAGTTGGAAGCTTGAGGATCCAGTGTGTTCCTGCAAAGAGTACCTGTGTGAAATCATGGAGACAAACTACTGCATATTAGTCAAGTGTAAACATGCAGAACTATATGATTCTTTATAGCATGCATGAAGCAAAGCAATGTGTATTCTGTCATGCTTGATTGTTTCCGGCTCTGGAATTGTAATTACCTCTATCTGACATGTTTGCTGAGCTCCCCTTGTTGAAGAGAATGTAGAACATCCCCTGGGAGTGCAAACACTTTCTGCGTCTGCTTGTCGTCTTTCTTGCAACCAAGTAGCGAAGCATCATTTCTAAGGTGGATTGTGTGCGTAAGCAAGATCCCATATGCCATGCAAAGCATGTACAGTGCTCACCGTAGCTTTGATCTCAAGCATGTACGTCTTCAGAACGAAAGAGTTTGGCTTTGCGTTGTCCTGCGAAAAGCTTAGTTTGTCCAGAGGGTTATCTAGATATTCCAATATCTAATTTAGATTGTCGTATGACGGATCGTAGATTTGCCGACAGCTCGTGCGCGCACCGGGAAGACAATTCCAACGAGTGTATGTGCCATGAACATGGATCGATCGTATCCATACATGAGATATCATTCATGACAGCGGCAATTATTATTAGAAGATTGAGCGGCTGTAGACGACGACACGACGGCACTCGGCTCATGCAAAAGCGACTACTCCACGTGAATGCATGACATACGTAGTGCTGTACATCCCTATCGGAAGGGGATGCCTTCGCCCGCAGCAGCTGCCATGGGAGGCACGCCCAAAAGAAGACCCCATAGTTTATCTCAAAGGGAGGAGGGGAAAGGTTGAGGCTTGGGAGAGTGCAGTAGAGAGGGGCCATGATGTTAGGAAAGAGGGGTACAGGAGGACATTGCCCGGCTTCAGCTGCACGCATGCCCAGCCACAAACCAACACCCCTCCTCCTCCTCCTTTTCCAATGTCATCCCAACCCTCTTTCACAGCTACTCGCTCTCTCTCTCTGTCTCTCTCTCTGTCTCTCCTGTTGAAGGGGCTGGTGCACAGTTGGGTCCGTCCACACTGTCTAGAGTCCCAGCAATCGAGTAGGCTGTTGTGGAAGACCTAATTCTTATGCTCTGCGCATTGTCTTCAAGAGAACAAAAGTGTGCACCCTTTCCTCTTTTCTCTCCTCCTTTCAAATTAATCTGAGGTCGGGACGGTGGAAGAGATAGTAAAGTATTGCGAGTAGAGAGGACAGAAGTCAGTGGCCCTGACTCGGGCATCTCTTTCTACACTCATTTCCTTATTGTTCGAGCTGTACGACACGAGGAGGATAAGAACAGCAGACGTTAATGGAAGGAAGGGTTTCGGATCATGGCTCTCTGCATGCATGCCGTAGCATGAACTCACCATTGGTTGCACTGTAGTTAAACAATCAGATTAGGGTTAGTGCATCTGCTTTTGGCACTCCCACTTACAGTAGGTAGACAAAGGAGACTAGCAGAAGCTTGCAGTCGACTCGTTCCATGACCCTACACGAGAAGTATTGGATGCATCACAAAGTCGTTGGTACCAAAGGAACAAGACGATAGCATTCTTTTAGAGTAGCCTTTGGATGGCCATTTAGCTCAGCTGTTCTCTAACAAGCATCCCGTTTCTCCTCCTCTTCCTCCTCCCTGCTCTTTTCAGCCGAAGGTAGGGTGCATTTGAGCCATGGCAGCCAACAGAGTGGATTACCATGAGGTTTTCACCACCAAGACCATAACAGTCTGTCCACGAGATCGCCCTCCTCATGCTCATGAGGCCAAAGTCATCCATCTCTCAAATCTGGACAGAAAGTGTCCCGCCCTAATGTACTTGGTGTTCTTTTACAGATCAACTCCACCCCTTCATGGCCGGCAGCTTTCATCTGCTTCTCTTTTCTCCTCCTTAAAAAGGGGACTGGAGGAGGCCATGTCCGATTGGTACCCAGCTGCAGGCCGGCTGTGCCTCGCCCCACCACCACCCACCGGGAAGATCAACCTGGCTTGCACCAATTCCGGTGCACTTCTGGTCGAGGCAGCCACCCGAGCTACGATTTCAGATCTCGGAGACCTAGCTCAGCACAATGACTTCTACGAACGCCTGGTCTGCAAGCCTCCCTCCGGGGCCTGCTTCGCCGACACGCCGCTTGTCGTCGGTCAGGTGAGTTCAGAACCATGCAGCTCACGACACTATGCCATGATAACATCCTATTCCTCCTTCCCTTCATGAAGGTGACCAAGTTTGCGTGTGGAGGCTACTCGATTGGGGTGGGCACAAACCACGCGCTCTTTGATGGGGCGGCAAACTACAGTTTCTTGAGTGCATGGGCTTCCAAGACGGTGGGGAGGGCAGCTGAAGGACAGGTGGAGCTCGTCGAGCCGGTCCATGAGAGAGGAAGGCTCTTGGTCTGCCATGGCCAGAGCCAGGTGAGCTTATCGAAGGCTGCCGATCGAGAAGGCGAGATGGGAGGGTTCATGGCTCTCGATCATCTGCATCAGCTGATCAAACAGGCAGTGTCTGCGAACTGCATCGTTCCCGGTGGGCAGCTGAAGCTCTCGGAGATGGACAGCACAGGGCACGAGCACTTGGTGCTGAGAACGTTCTCTGTGAGTGCTTCCATGGTGAGCAGGCTTAAGAACAAAGCTGCAAGCGGCTCCGGTGGCATTTCCTGCTCTTCCTTCGAGGTGGTGGCTGCTCATCTATGGAAGGTAATGGAAATTGATATTAACCGCTCTCTCTCTCTCTCTC